TAATCACCTTGAACAACTTCAGCGTATCCACTAGATGTTCTGTATCAAGGAGATGTCTCGGGATGGCACGGCTGAATGCTTTTAATCCACCTAAGCTTGGGACTTTCGAAATATGTTCTTTGAATCGAACACAAACTCTTCATTTTGTTTTATCGATGAAACTGCTTTAGCACGAACATGTGGATTTGTGAACATAGTCGGTGGCAACATTGGATTGATACCTATCGATCTTTGGTTGTGTTAAAGAACATGTCACTGTGGATACAACAATCATTTTAGCTGCGGGATAAGTTTTTGTCAATGCAGCTCTTTGTCTCACGTTCATTGACCCTATAAGATAATCACCTTTGAAGTTAAGTTGGATAAAATAGGTTTTTTGTTTAATGTAGCTTCTTTGGGTTTTTCATCTTCACATTTTGCACATCTCTCAATAAATTTTAGTGGGTATCCTATGTTCATTAAACATCTTTTGATGTTCATTAGTACCTCTTCTAGTGTATCAGCAGTATATATTCTTTTTGTTCTGTGTAATAGTGTTTTAAAAAGTGTCTATGTAACTGATTGACCAAAAGCTATTGAAATTGAGATAAATCCCATTCTATATATCTTCCTCAAAAGAACTGAACGTTGAACCATGCCAACCTTCCTTCATTTTATTGCGATGTCGAGAAAATGGAATTTGTTCTCATTGTAAACTGGATATTTTTATGGACTTCATTTTAGAATTTCAGCAGATTTGTTGCATGTTGTTGATTATTACATACGATAAAGGGATAGTCAACAAACTTCGAATAACACACCATTTCTCCAAACGCTCTTTTGATCTTGGTTTTTTTGAGATTGACCATGAAACTATCTGCTAGGGTAGGATCTATCGGACTTTCCATTACTACAATATCAGTTCGTCGGTATATGACATTATTGAACTGCAACTGAAAATCGTTTGTACATATGGTTAACAGTCGTTTGAGTTCTGATGCTGGTCAAGGTAGGATGTCAGAATGCTGGCAAATTTGTTTTTATAAGAATGGTAATATCTTTAGTAAATTTGATTTTTAAAAATATAATAGGTTGTAAGCAGCTGATGAGAACCTAACGAAATAAAATGTGTTCATATTATTCTGCCTCAATCTTGTTTTTCGTTCTCTTTAAGAGAATAAATGGAACTATGTGTATAAAAAAAGATATTCATGTATAAGTTCACTTAATATTGTTTACTTGAATTTTTCTATTGATGTTTAGAACAGCAAGTGATCAGTCTATTATTGGCATAAGTACATACGGTGCGTATCCCCTCGATATTGCCTTAATTTACAAGCATTATGAGCAAAGATGGATAACGCTTTGGTGTTTGAAGCGAACGATATTGAGTTCGAGTCTCAGAGTGAACATCAACTTTAAAATGCAGGTACATCAAGCTGACAAGTCCCAAACAGAACGAAACGCATATCCTGGATTCCACCACTAGCCATCTTTGCTGATATTCATTTATTTTTCATTTATCATCATCCATATCAACAGTACTCTGAAATCGAAGAGGTTTTTCACGCTTCTGTTGATGACTAGTTTGTGTAAGAGATCTAGTCGTCAACAGAAACGTGAAAGACGTCTTCGATTTCATTTCCAAGGTGGAACATATAAACTTAGATGGGAAACGGATAATACGCTTAAATGTTGTAACAATCAAATTAAGAATTGAGTTAAAGATTTTTTTCTATTTTCTTTGATTGATCTGATCGTCTTTTTTTTTCCTAATTTCAAATATTCCTTCTATGTTTTTATGATTTGTTCTAAAGAATATTCTGTCAATGTTTTTTTATAGAATACAATAGTAAGATGTGCTGATGATGTCGTTCAGAAGAACAATGAAAGCTTCACGACCAAACCATTCAGCTCAGAGAACAAAACTCCACCAAAATCATCCACCTGAGCTACAAATCTTCTCCACCATCTCAGTAAGATTATAATTAGAACAGTATTTCACACTACATAAGCAAATGTTACAATTTAATACTTAACTATTTATCTGTGGATTGTTTTAGTCTGTCACTTTAATAAAAGCAGAGCTATCTACGGAACAATCAGATTCTATACCATTGTGAAGAGATAATCAATTGTTGATGATAGCAGAATAAATATAATTTTTTATATTGAAATGTATACTGTAAAAAAATATATACCGCCTGAATATTTTTTTTGACCGACACTTTCATCTATATTTCTTTATCCATTACCATATTCAACGGTTGAATAAGTAATTATTCAAATGGGATGAAATTTGTTTTATTATATAGTTAAAAATATAAATTAACATTGCCTACAATCATTATTATATAATTTTATTTATTAATTAAATCTAACAATTGGTCAGCATCAATTGCAGTAATAACACTCCCAAGTTTTTCATTTGCTGTATATACACATTAGATACATTAAATAAAAAGACACTCTTATCGTCTTTGAATTCTATTAATTTGAGATACTCATTAAGTTATTAAAAAATGATCAATATCATGTCTATTCACTAATGCTGTCTACACACTATCAACTGGTATACCATCAGATTACTTAATTAAGTAACCTATGACAATGGTCAATCATTTGCTAGATTTTAGATGTTTGGAAGTAAGATGAAGCTATGAATACATACTTTATTTCCTTCTACATACATCTTACTGTCTAGTGTTTTCTGATTTAAGATAGTTTTTTGATTGACGTTTTACTCTGAGGAACGTATACTTCTCCAGTGACTATTACTTTGAAATCAGTAACAAATTAAAGTTCAAAATTAACATGAATGTTTGAATTTGGATCCCTAAGTCAGATGGAACATTCTATAATTCTTGAAGTCCTTTTCATTCTAGACAAATGAGATAAAAATACATTAATTTTTGGGATTTTCGTTGAGTTGAAAACGAAAGCGGATTCTTTTGTTTGTTTTCAGTCAGAAGTATCTAATAAATATTTTCCCTTACTTATACATGAATGTCACACCTGAAATATACATTCATAGTACGTATTTCTAAAAATACTTGGTACTATACTGGTTATATGAATATTTTAGATGCGAATAAAATTCATGGAAATTATTGTGTATATTTCCGACACCAAATATTTCTAACAAATCTCTTGCCTGCCGTTTCACCACTTATTTTGATTTGTCAATATTTATGGTAGTGATTATGCTTGTTTCGAAACCCAAAATGTTCAAAACTGAGATATTCTTCAGTTTGAGTTTTGTGGAAATTTCTGGGAATTAATCCAACTCTATAAATCATGCTGCCATTCAATATTATCAAAGTGAAATAATCAGTTTGAGCAGCATTGAAACGTGGTTTGAAAACCGTACATCACTAGTATATTTTTGAGTTCAAAAACATTTCAAATATTTGATATCTGTTTGTTTCAGTGTATTGTTTTTTTCAAGGAATAGTTTCGTCATTATACTGGATATTTGACTGAAGATATATAACAGTTTTTCACTGCAAAGCTTTTTAGAATATTTGAATGACAGATGGAGCTGATTAGACGTATTCATTCAAAGTTAGATTTGTCGATGAATGTATGCCAATAGTCGAGGTTCCCCTTGATTATCAGACGGGCTTATATCTATATTTATGAGTTCTGGGTATATTTTGCTTGGAGTTTTCTAATAATACTTTCTATTTATCTTTTGTTCTCTCACTCAAGTTGCTGGTTGGCCTGGAGCATAGGAAGTATGACTACCAGTATCAGGATCGGATAATTAGTCAACATACCATTAAATAAGTTAACCAATATCTAACCCATTTTTCATCGTGATTTGATCATATATGTTTTCCAATTATTACCTCTTATATATCCTTCAGCAAATGTTAGTTATTTTGGAAAATAAATTATAGCAACAAAGAAAATTCCCGAGAATTAAAATGTGAATAAAATTGGGTGTTATTTTTGCACATTTATTTTAGTTGCTACAAGCTTTCTTTTCGATTCGAATGGATTATTATATCGCTTCGGAGTAACAAACTGACTATTTGCGATTACAAATTTTGTGATTATTTCACTGACTGTTAACATAATTAGCGCTTTTAATCGATTTTATTATGAACGGAGTAGATCAATTTCATCTTTAACCCTTAGTTCTTAAATACTTTAAGATAAATTGCTTTTTTGATAACTACTTACACGAAGTCATGACCATAAATATTGCGTAACAGCAGATTTCACACTCTGTAGTTAAGACTGGTTTCCTATACATTGTCAGCCATTATTGTTTGAATAATCAGAGAAAAAGAGTTACTCAACTTTTGTAGTAAAACAACATGTTTTATCTATTCATTTTTCAAAATGTAATTTTCACTAAATGTACAATCTGAATAGGAAATATATCAGATTAGTTATGAAGTAATCTATCAAAATCTAGATTTTCTAGATACATAAATGGGTTGAAACTGAGGTCTATGCTTAATGATATTTATAGTCATTAGAAAGAAGTAGAATAATAATCATCTCTATCATTTCTTTCTAGATAGACATTAGTTGAATGAATTGTTATTCATAGCACAGTTAGATAAACTTTTTCTGTATAAAGAATAGTCACATTTAAGTATCAGTTTGTTAAATCTTGGTATGTTGAAATGTTTTCGATCTAATTTCAATAACTAACTAATAAATGTTTCATATTTCTTTGTTATAGGATCGTCTTTACAGTAGACAATGATGCTATTATCCAGATCACCATCACAATCTTAGAATTTAAACGGTTTCAATAAGAGAATAATACACTAGCAAAAGTATTCACCTGAGCTACAAATCTTCTCTACCATGTGAACACCATAATACTTCTGTATTACTGCCCATGGAATGCATAAATCAGTAAAACTAACAAAAATTGTCTTTTCCAACTATCTAATGACAATAAAATATTTTTAAAAAACATAATAATTTTAAAGCATAAAACACAAGCCTATTTGTTTAAAACAAATATGTTTGATTTATGGTAAATGTTAAAAACTTACCATTCATTCTTGGAGAAAAAGATGATGGTGAAACTCTAGATGGTAGATATTGATGTTGTTTTACAATTGAAGATTTTCGAAATCCTTCAGAATAACGCCCTGGACTTGAACCTCCTGAACCAGTTAAATTAGTATCATTTGGTTGATCAAAACGTGGTACATCCAATGAAAAACTTTTTGTAGATAATAATGGATCTGTTCGTATATATATTAATATGAATAAAAGAGAATATAGACATTGTTTAATTGTATACATTTTGCTTTGAAATATTTCGTTTATAAAAACTATAGGGAAAGTTAACATGATTTTTTCTATAAAACGGTTACATGTGAATAAAAAAAATCAATAATGAGGTACTCATTGATTTTCTTTCAAAGGTTGCCATATTTTGTTTAACTATCTATACATATCAGTATATGAAGCAATAATACGGAAAACACCTTAAGAATGTACTTAGTAGGTTTCATAAAAGAAAAAAAGGATTCTGTTATGTCTCACCAGAAAAATTCGAGTTTTATTTTTGGTATCTAATGTGTTCAAATATGCTTCATTTTTCTGCACAAAATAATACCAAAGAATGAAAGTTTGATTACCTTCTTAACTAAATATGAATAACCATAGTAGTAATAAAGGCCAATTGATAACTGTTAATATGTTGTTTTTTCCCACAATATGAATTTATTTTTCTATCATTGAATGAATAAACAATGCTTCCATTAACTTATGTTCATAATATGTTATTTGGTCAATAAACATAGTCACTAAGAAATGTGATTTTATACAATCACTTCTTAAATATTAAACCGAATGATTGTAAGGCGTAAGGTTAAGCCATTTGAACATCCAGTACTAAAGTGTCACTTAGAGATATATTTTAATTAGATTAGATAAATCTAACCTCTGAGAACATATCAATGAATTTGAGCTTGAAGATGTCCATTAATTAAAAGTGTAAAAAAACATGAAGCCTTATGATAATTAAATTTAGTTCAGGAGAAATGTATATCACCGCCAAATTGAAACTATAGCACACCATCAATCGATTTAAAGATGCATTTTTGATTGTAAAGTTATCTTTGAGACAATTAATAAAGAATCTGGATAAAACAAGCGTTTTACATCAGAACTATTGAAATCCGCTAAAGTATAGTAGTTTTAGGAAGTATATTATTTTTCCAAGGTTAATTATTAATATTTTCATCTTAATATTATGTAAATCATTGTCTAACCACATTGTTATTGTTGCGAAAGCACAGCCTACATGTAGTTTTTAAGGTCATTATAGTTATAAATAAGTAAATGGAAGAATTCACTGCTTACAATATCATATTCAAGTTGTCTAAAAAAAATCAGAAGTCATAAATAGACATTTTTATCTATTGTAACATGTTCACTCCACAAAACAGCTTATTATTATTTAGTGAACTATTAGTAAAAATAGTTTTTTTAAAGAGTTTACTATGACCAAAGTAAATTGGAAGGAAAATCTAATTGATTTGTATATTAATGTCAATGGATAAGATCATGAGTCAGTTGAAGCTAGACCACCATGGAAAACCTAAAAGCACTGGAAGGCTGTTTCGGCCTATTGTAGGACTCCTCAGCAGTGCTCATCCACCCCTGCGAGATTCGAACCCAGAACCTACTGGTTTTGCGCACGAGCACTTAACCACTTGACCACTGATCCAGCCGGCATCCAACGGTGTTAATGTTTGACTTCAACTAATCCACGAAAATGAGTGACACATCCACAAAACCCATCTGATATTAATCAACATATGCTCACTAGTGACTGGCTTCAAAAGGTATATCCTGGAATTCTAGTGAGAAGTAATGACCAGTAGAGTTCAACCAGGTCTGTTGTAAGATAGTAACTCACTGAAGACATACACACATACACATACTACTTCTTGAAATTAAAGCATATCATTATCACATTATTTATTCTATTATTATTTGAAAAATAAACTTCATAAATTCAAAATTCAAACTATATTGTTTTAAATGTATATTACTTCCTAAACTTTAAAAAATGGAAAAGGAGATCAGATCAAAATGTTTATTTACAACAATATTTGATCTTATCACGCTTTGATCAATGTGTATCAATGTTCTATTTCTTTTTTCTCAAAAAAAACTTGGTTTTTTTTTAACTAGTCACATGATTTGATAAATTACCTTCAATACAATATAAACAATCTCATGTAATTCAGTTTTTATTTTTGTTCAATATCTTTTTGTAGAGTAAAAAAAGGATATTTGTGAATGGTTAGAAAAGAATTTTCATGATAAATAATTGACTAACTGGAGAATAATTACGAACCATTAAGCCTGAAACGATTGCGATGAATTATATATCATAATGAAAAAAATGTAATTACATTTGAAAACTACCTAAATGAATGAGAATGTTTCTATTCTAAATTTTAACGAATAAGCTTTGGGTATAAATATTCTAAACATTTATGGTGATTATGAGAAGAGTATTGATATTTATGAAATCATATTCAAACGTTTTCATTATCGATGAGACTATAATTTAAAAACGACTTATGAGCGACGCTAAAGAGAGAGTGTTCAGTAATAACTAATACCAAATGAGTATTATAAACCAGTATGAAGAATTAGAATCATCATTTACAGTCGATGGTTAAGTTTCGGAATTAGATTTAAGTTTTTCATCACGAAATGACATCAACTATAATGCTAAAACGTTAGTTAGCCAAATGGATGAATGAATTTCGCATCAAAATCCAAGACATGCTATCTTATACCTGATTGGTTCGTCTTTAAATTACAGTCTCAATTCATTGTCTTCAACAATGTTGAGTCTTTTCAAATTATAAAAGATAATCATTCAGATCCAGTGGTAGTGTGACTACATTTCCATTTATATGCTAGCCACTTCAGCTAATCAGTATGTATTATTTCAGATCCGTTGGCCGGACACTATTAGCAACAACGTACTGTGGGAGAGAACAAACCAGATCCCAGCGGAGGAAGAAATCAGGAAGAAGCGCTGGAAGTGGATAGGACACACATTGAGGAAAGCACACAACTGCGTCACAAGGCAAGCCCTCACATGGAATCCTCAAGGCGAAAGGAAAAGAGGAAGACCAAAGAACACATTACGCCGAGAAATGGAAATAGACATGAAAAAGATGAACAAGAATTGGATGGAATTAGAAAAGGAGGCCCAGGACAGAGTGGGTTGGAGAATGCTGGTCGGCGGCCTATGCTCCATTGGGAATAACAGGCGTAAGTAAAGTAAGTTAAGTGATGTGTTATATACTTGTAATATCTCAATGAGATGAAAAATTGGATTCCTGACGTTTCTTGTCACAATATGACATTTCTACAAATAATAAAATAAATAACTAAACCAAATAAACACAAATTTAACTGGTAACATAAGATTATCCATCCCTTGCTTAATGTTTAATAAGTGTGCAATTTCTAGCAATTTTTGGAAACTTTTCCGTCCATTAAATAGGTTGGCACTGAGCATAAAGGTGTAATTGTTTTAGTGAATATTTGATCTCAATCATCTGAAATTATAGTGAACACTTCAGTGTAGCACATTCTAACAGGTCGAATGAAAAATACAAATGAAGTTGAAATGTGGGCTCGAAATTGAATTCCTAGTAAAAATTGCAGTTATATTAAACAATAAAACACCAGATGAACCAAAATACGCTTGAAAATGCTAGGTTCTACACACTTATTGAGTACTGAAAACGGATATATAACCTCTGCCAAATAGTACAGAGGGAAAAACAAGTATTCATTCCAAAACAGAACAAGTATGATCTTGTTGATGGCATATCATGTAGGTCAAAAAGGAGGAAAGATAGAGCTAAATTCATGTATTCATGATTTGGCTATAAAAGTTAAAATATTTAATTTCTTTGATATTATTTTGAAGGTTGTTAAAAATAGCTATACTTTTAAATTTCCTTGGTGTTGTCTGCTTATATCTCACCATGGTTATTTAGGACTGCAATTAATCAGTCTCATGTTGGTATATGTGTTTCCTGTGCGTATTGCCTCGATATTGCTTGAAGTTACAAGCTTTATAAGCAAAGATCGATAGTTGCTGGCAGTTGAATCCAGGACACATGGTTCGTCCTATTTGGGACTCGTCAGCTGGATGTAAATGCATCTCAGAGTCGGTGTTCACTCAAGGACTCAAACGCAGTACCGTTCACTTCAAACGCCATCACGTTATCCACTTCGCTACTGACTCCTGATAGCCACTTGCTTGTACAATGGGATGAAGTTTAGATTCACTTGTTATTGTTTGCTTGTATCTTTTCACTGGCCAAATAAATAACGCAGTCGCGTTTGAAGCGAACGGTACTGGGTTTGAGTTCCTGAGTGAACCTGAACTCTGAGATGCAGGTACATCCAGCAGACGCGTCCTAAATGGTTCGGAACGCGCGTCCTGAGTTTCACTGCCAGCCATTATCCAACTTTGCTTATATAGCTGTACTCTTTCCGAAATATAAAACAAATGAGGTACGTGTACTATTTTATAATAAATATTTTTTTAAATGTGACAAATTTTAAACAGTTTTATAAATGATAGATATATAACTGAGAAATAAATATTTAAATGAGGATATCCAATGACTGTACTCTTGAACGATATGTATTCTAAATGTTTGTATAAGCTATTTTTATATTCTCAGTTATCAATTGTTTTAACCACATATTGAATACATGTAAAAATGTAATATTTTAAAGCAATTTGTTGCACAATCAATATTTAAAAAGTCAAGGAAACAACAAATTGTTTGAAAAGTTAACTTCGTCTAACAAATTTACTTTTCAGTCGACATTTTAGCTTCTTTCACTCTCAAAGTTTCTAGTGTTGTCAATTTCTATTTGTAAATGTTGAATCGCAGCTGAATTTATGTGAAGTCTTTTTATATCTTAAACTACGTATTCGTGTTGTAGAAATTATTTAGTTGAAAATATATTTATACTCTTTGATATGGTGAGAAACGCTGATTTTTATACACTTTCTGTGTTGATAGAAAGAAGATCTTAAATGAACCAATTACAGTGCAACTCAGTAGTATATAAATGACTGGTAGTGTTTCTAAAGTTGAATACCTGAAATTATTCAATGTTTATCAGATTGCTGATTGGAAGTATTATTATCTTATATTATAACATTATATATATAACA